TAGAATATAGTCGACTTTCTCTAAATGTTTCTTTAAGCCTCTTAAATAAACACATTCTCAGAAAATAAATAGTTTTTATATATTAAAAAATATAAAGCTGACTAATGTTAAATTGGTTCATTATTTTTTTAGGTTTGTGACCCAATATTGGACAAAACACAGATTTACCTTCACAGCCTCAGAAGGACAGGATTTATGGACAGAAAGTAAACCTGGACATGAAATGATGTTTTGTTTTTATAATGTTTTTTGTTGTTGGCATTCATATAAATATATTGGTGTGATAACTTAGTAAAAGTTTGATTTGTTTTTAGTATATTTCTACTTTTAATTTATAGCCCCCCCTTATCACCCTGTGATCAGTGGTTTTTACCCGCTGATCACAGCTAATATAGCCGCCATTGTTCTAGGCAGAGAAAGGATTGGGTAGCTCCGCCCACCGCGCATCAGACCCACTTTACCACCGTGCAGCTAGAGCAGCAGAGATGCTTCAGTCGCGCATCAGAACTACACTTGTGGAAGCATCAAAAATGAAGCAGCACGAGCGTTTTTGCTGCTCCTGCTGCTTACGGTGTGAACGTAGCATTAGATGATGTCTGCTAGTGTTTTAGCTCTTTAGCTAAAAACTTAGCTAAGCCTCCACTTCTGCAGCCTAGAGCGTCCCTAACTTTAAATATTTAGCTCAGTTTTTCCCTCAGAAGGGTTCACATCACATTGATTTCTGATTTTTAAAATAATTCTTTCGAATTTTACTTTACCAAAATGTTTTATTTACCTCTTGGATTTGAAACAGTAAATTCAATTGCAGTTGTTCTAAATTATTTTTTAAAGCTGTTTTAACCTCATTCTGAATTTTCCACGATAAACTTTGGTTTTGAAACATTAAATCTGCTGAACTGTTAGAACATTGCATCATTTCATTGGTAATGTGTTCAAACAGTAACTTAGTTTGAGTTTCACTGCCTCAGTTAAATGTTTTTTATGTTAAAATTTTTTGATTTGAAGTATTTTTGTTAATGAATTCTTGATTTCTAAATGAAAGTTGTTGTGAATTTGCTCCAAATTTGCTCAGAGTTAACTGACTATGATCTGAGCTCTAACCACACTTTCATTTCTTGAATAAAAAATGTCCAGCTGCTTCATTATTGTCTAATTTGTCCATTATTGTGCCAAATTAACTGAAATTAGCTTAGTTTTTGTTTTTCATTTTATAATTCTGCACAGAGGAAGGATGAGTTGTTTGCAGGCGCTGAGGGAACCAACCTCCTACAGAGTCCATATCGGAGTCAGAAATGTGAGTAATGGAGAAGCGGGACACGCTGGACGGGGAGACTGTAAAGCGGGACATTTGGACCGGCGGTTTGGACTCCGGAGCTTTGGTGACGGAGTGCCGTGGAGGAGAGTCAGCTGCTGTGGAGGATGTTGGCAGAGGTAGGAGTGGAAAGTCGTCCTCCCACTCGAACCCTGCACCTGAGAGAAGACGGTTAAGAAAAGCTGGTTAATATCTTAGGAAAGAATGTTTTAGAGGCAAAGACAAGCAGACAGAAGGAAAAAACTCACTTTCCTCTGAGATATTCCCATCTGAAGAATCATCCGAGGCATTAGGCCTTTCCTGGGATTTCCTCTCAGATCTTGAACCTTCAGAGGCTAATGGGAAACCATGTTCAACCAACTCTTTAGTTGGACTCTCCTGAAGATTTAAGATTACAGAACAGTCGATTAGAGGCGTGATAACTCCTGAAATAGCAGAAGAATATTAGGATAATAATAGGAAGCAGCCTGAATAGTGTTGATTGGTTTACAGAGGCCCCCTGGACGCCTCCCTTGGGAGGTTTTCCAGGCACGTCCCACTGGGAGGAGTCCCAGGGGACGACCCAGGACACACTGGAGAGACTATGTCTCTCGGCTGGCCTGGGAGCGCATAGGGCTTCCCCCAACAGAGCTGGAGGAGGTGTCAGCGGAGAGGGAAGTCTGGGAGTCTCTGCTTAGTCTGCTGCCCCCGCGACCCGGTTCCGGATAAAGCGGGAGACGACGAGTACAAGACGAGTACGAGTTTACAGATTTTTATCGTTTCTTTTGTCTTAAGGCAGCTACAGAAACCAACCTTGCCTCATGTCAGGGATGTATTAACACCTAAACCCAGAAATTAGTTTTAACCCAGTTCCCTGGTCTGTTCCCAGTTCCACACCAGTCTGATCCGCTGCAGAAACCAGACTGAGCCTGTAGAAAACAGGCTCTAAAGTTCTGGGTTGAAAACACTTTAAAATGAACCAAGAATGCTGGTGAACATCCTCAGTCATCCAGGTCAAAGTCATTCCAAAAAAGTAAAAAAAAAATAAATAAATCAATCCTCTGGACTTTGTTTCCAAGTTTGAAGACGTTTCTCTTCCATCCAGGAAGATTTTTCAATTCCAAATGTCAGAAATAGCGTTTAGTTCCAGGTTTTATCCAGCAGCCCAACAAAGCCTGGTTTTAGTTTAGAAAACATGCAAATTGAATCAGTTGTTAGCCTGCAATGCCTGCAACGGCCCATACCTGTCTCTGTCTCTGAAAGGGACATAGGGACATGTCCCTTTCAGAGACATGGAAAACATGCAAATAGAAATGCACGAACGGGTCCACCCCTTTGGAATGCGGGTTGTTTGGCGTCTTTTGTTGGCCTTAAATGCCCCATACCTGTCTATGTCTCTGAAAGGGACATGTCCATGGACAAGTACTGGGTCCAGGGGTTTGTTTTTTTACTTTTTTGGAATAACCCAAGAATCGACAGATTTATTTGGTTTGTTGGTCCAAGAAGGTCAAACTGTCCTGCAAGTTTATTCATTGTATCTTCTGGAAAAGAAAGCAAGGAGCAGTTTGAATCTCACCTGATCGAAGAGATAGACGGTGACATCATCAAAGAAAGAGACGGTTTTCTTCTTCTGCTCCTCCTCTGGGTTATTAACCAGCAGCGTTGGTATCTTGAGGAGACTTCGTAGCTTGTGAGAGTCGCTGTTGTCGCTCACCACAATGGGCACAGGGTGGCACTCTTCCTCACTCTCCTCTTCCTCCTCTTGCACGCTGTAGCTTCGCAGCTCTTCATCCGATTCGTCACTATCATCTGTATCGGCGTCCTCCTGGTCAGCCTCCTCGCCGTCAGCCGGAGATGATTGGCCCTCTGTGGCAGAAACCGGAGATCGTGGGGCGGATGGAGAGACGGGAGAGGAGGAAGAGAAGCGCCTGCTGTTAGCGGTGTGCTGCAGTGCCACCTCATCTTTAGGTAAGATGTGCGGTATTTCACTCGACATCCCTGATGGCCTTTTGTGAATCATTTTTGCAGCCATGTCCTCCATCTCACAAGCCTCAACAGAACCTTTTAAACCCTTTGTTTCTTTGTGTTCCGGAAAGCTGGATGCAGAGTCTCCAGTAAGGGCACCCAGGGCTTCCTCCATGGCGCCCACCACTTCAGCCGCCCAGTCCCCCAGGGTGGAAGTCTCCTCCTGGGATGGCCATTCTTCCAGGTTCCCCTCCTCTGTTGAATATGTCTCTGAAGGACATTCTGTTTGATCCACTTCAAGTTTTAAGTCTTTATTCCCAACAACATCTTTTAGCTCCTCCTCCTCTCCACTTTTCCTTTTCTCTGCCCTTTTACCAGCGTCGCACTTCTTATCACCGTCATCGTGATGATCCACTTCTCCCAGCTGGAGTTCCTTTTCCTCGTCCCGACTTTGCTTTTCATTCTCATAATCTGAAAAGTAAGCAGAGTCTCTGTATGGAGTGTTATCACTCAGCGGTAAGAGAATTTGCTCTTCTGTCTTCGAGCTCTCCAAAACTAAATCTTGACATATTGATGCTTCTTCGTCTAAAGCAGCAGATTTATCATCCTCCTCGTCATCCTCCTCAACCTCCTCTAGACTGCACTCAAGCATGGGCTTTCCTTGAGGTTGTGACCTGGTTTCGTGGGATTCTTTTGGGACGAACTCGGGACTCTCGTTGTTCTCTGTATCATACCCGCTGTCCATGGCTTTAGGTGAGCTGGAGGGATGGGAGGAGGCAGGGCTGAGACCTTCACAGGATCCGACCGCAGATGGAAGATCCATTGAGTCCATGGAGTCAGGAGTCCCTACCTGCTTCTGCAAGGACTTAAAAGCAGGAGACACATTTAGCTCGCTGTGATCATCGGCGAAGATGCCCGAAGTGACGTCGGTGTTGTCATCGGTTATGTCGTCGTCTTCGTCGCTGCAGTCGAGGAGGTCAGCCAGGCTGACGGAGGAGCCCCCTTGCTCCACGCCGCTGTCGGCTGCGTGGCTGAGCTCTGACTGTGGATCTGTGATGGAAACCATCACGTGCCGGTTGTCAGGAGGAGGTGGAGTGTTCTTAGTCATTGTGAGAACAACCTCCTCTTTCCTGGGCTCGGGTGGTCTCTGCATGATCAGATCTTCCTTGATTACTTCCTCTCGCTTCTCTTTAAGTGTTGTTTCTTCAGATGTAAGATTAACATACTGCTCTTCACAGTCCTCAGATTTTATCAAAGCATTTCTAGGAACAATTGGACCCCCAGGAGCCGGCGATAGGTTGATCATCTCCTCCCTGCTGAGAACATCCGTGGCCTTCTCTGTGATGTAGTTGCTGTCACTGTAGCTGTGACAGCGACTGTTGTTTCTCACTAACAAACCGGTGAGTGGGTCAACAAAGTGTGTGTGGCAGCAATCTCCAGGTGGCAGCAGGGTGTCCCCTTCATTGCACAGGTAGATGTAGGCGTTGCAGCTGTCTGATGGCACCATGGTGTGGTGTTTACCCAGACTGAGGCAGGTACTGTTTTCTTTGGCCTGATGTGGCTCTAGATAGTCGATGGGTTTGGGCAGAGAGCGGAAAGCCAGGCTATGCTGGTCTGGCCAGGTGTCTTCGATGTCCGTACTCGGCATGGTGTAGTTAAAATCAGTGTAGGACTCCTGCCTGCAACTGTGGCTGGCCCGTCTGCTGTGACCTGCGCTGCTGTGCCGCTGTTTGGAAGGCCAGGTGTTGCAGGTGTGTCTCTCGGTGAATATGTCTTCCTCCTCCTCCGTATCACTGTCTCGGTGTCCGATAAAAAGCGCTCCTCCGGTCTTAATGTCGATACTCACAGAGTGGCTATTGTGCCTTGTGTAGCTGGGCATGGTCTTCCTTAGGGAGCCCATCATATCATAGTAGCCCCCTGTCACATTCTTACCCAAGGGGGAGGTCTGACTGGTGTCCAGGTAAGTTTCTCTGTAAGCTTTTTCAGGTGGACTGTTTAAGGATGGGGAAATGCCTAGAGGGTTCTCCAGTTCTCCTAAAGCCTGCCGAAGGCTTCGAGACCCCCAGCTCTCTTGATGATGCTCACTGGAGTGCTCACTTCCAATCAGATAGGGATCTATTTCTAAAGGAGGGGAGTGCTCATAGTAGTAGCCCCCGTCTCTGTCTTTATAGGACACATAATGACTGGATTCCCAGGGTCGAAGGGGGCTGCTGTCTAAAACTTGACCCAAAAGAGGTTCCATCGTCAAGGAGATGGCCGGACTGGACTCATTGGAGTCGTATGGATCAGGTTTGTGGATGTCTGCAGACCAGTAGGGATCCATGGTTGTGGTCTGTGATGGGCAGGCCATGCATTCCCCAGAATCTGCACTACCTGTCAGAAAGCTCCCACTGCTGCCTTGGTAGTCTGGGCTGTAGGAGCAGATGTTGTAATCTGGATCTATGCTGCAGTCTACGGGCTCTTCGATGCGGATGTAGTATTCGCTGCTCACCGAGGGGCTGTGGGCGCTCAGGACAGGGAGCACAGTGGGAGGGTGCAAGTGTTTTGGTTGATAGTAAGAAGGAGAAAACGCTTGTCCCAGGTTCTCCATGGGACATCCTCCAACAATGCCCCCTGGTGGATAAAACACTTCAGGACAAGTGTGGCCGGCCTGAGCACAGGTACTCGTGGATTCTTGGGCGACATAGCTTGGATCTGCTCTGGCTTGCTCCCACTTGTACTCGAAGTTTAGCCCGTGGCTGGTCTCTGTGACTGTCAGTATGTCGTCTCCAGACTCTGAATGGTAGCCATCACCCGATGTAAACTGCTCTAGTAGGGGGAAGGAAGAAGAGCTTGATGAGGCCGGGTCTCTAGACCTCATCAGGATGGTGTGGTGGCTGGAGAATCCAGAATTGGGTCGCAGGGAGTTCCAGCGCCTCTCAAAGTCCTCTTCTGCTTCACTGGCCCCTTTAGCGCACAGATAGCTGAGCAACAGATGAACCTCCTCTGCATTGGGTCTCTGTTCAGGTTTGAGCCAGCAGAACTGCATCACTTCATACCTGAAGAGCCAAAAAAAAAAGAAGGGGAGTCTTTAGTCGGTGTGGTTTTAAAGTTAAGTGGTAAAAACTGTATCAACAGGAGCAGTAGAATCTTTGCTAATCCTAAAAGTATTTTCACTGAGTTTCTTTATCAGCCTGCCTGATGGTCAGGCCCATCTGTCTGTGACTCACCAGCGCTCAGCCAGGGGGATCTTGAGGAGCGGCTTGGGCAGCCGCAGCTGCTGCTCTCTCACGGCATACGTCAGGACCTGCCTATCAGAGTAGTGTCTGTAAGGCTGGTTTCCGAGTTCGAAGAGCTCCCAGATAGTTACACCAAAAGACCTGGGATGATGAGAGAGCAGAAACATCAGCCAGTAGACAAGCACTGCTCACAGTCCTGCATAATGCACATTGTTGGGCTACAGTATAAAGCCTGGAACTCAACGCTATTTCTGACATTTTGAATTGAAAAAGCTTCATTGATGAGAAAAGAAACGTCTTCAAACTTGGAAACAAAGTCCAGTGGATTGTTTTTTTATTTTTATTTTTTTACTTTTTTTGGAATGATTATGACCTGGATGACTGAGAATCTCCCCCAGCACTTATCATTATATTGTTTGCTGCATCTATGCAGTTCAATAGCAGCGACCATTATGCCGAATGCTCATCAAACATGTCTGCCTGTCCACCATTAGGTGATTTTGATTCATTGATGCATAAAATGGAACTAAATGTGTTTCTGATCCTACCAGATGTTGCTCTGCTGGGTCTGATCAGCGATCAGCAGGTTTCCATGAACCTCATCCACCAGCTCAGGAGCGATCCAGCGGAGCGGCACGTACATCTGATCTGACGTCACATAGAAATCATCCTGGGAAATAAGCACTGAATTAGACTCAGATAATCCTAAATGCAGTAGTCTAGGTGTAAAAAAAAAAAAAGAAACAGTGATGCAGGAATTTTTTATTCTTTTTCGGAAGCATCCATAGTCTAATGAATCTAGTCTATTAGCCTAAAGCAATATGCACAGTTTGGTTATTCCATGTCAGGTACGCCGGTCACTGACCTTGACCAATGCACCTTCCAGTAGAACTGCAGTCAGTCGCTGGACTGGCATGGTAGTTAGCATGGCTATCACTGCCCCTACACAGTTAGCATGGCTATCACTGCCC